AAAAAGTTGCCAACATTAAATTTAACTGAACTTATTACGGTAGTTTCCGAACGGTAACTGAATGTGACAGGTAGCCAATCAGAAAGCGCGGTGACGTCAGAACAGAGGGGAATCCCATACAGCTGACATATCGTGCAACTGTGAGCCAGGTGGATATCGGAGATATGTGGAAATGTTTATTATTATATGTAAAGGTCATTATTATATATGTTTATTATATGTGGTTATGTTTATTCAGTTAAAAATGTTAACTACGAAAAAACATAGTCACCTCCAAATCATAGTGCAGCAGATAGAGCGGCTGCTCCCGCTGTCTTTTATCCACCGCCTTTTCTTTTTGTTTCTTTTATCTCTTAAAATGACTCCACAAACTATCACTATTGCTTCTACATCGTCATCCGTGTTTGGTTATTCTAAATTCCCGCTATGTTGGGGGTTTTGTGGATTTTCTTCTGGAATCGCGATGTTCGTGACTGGAATCGGTTCGTGTGGTGTGCTGCTCCTGCCGTGTGGCTGAACATGAACCGATTGAACCTGTTGTACTTTTATCAGCTCTGTGGTCACAGAGGTTTGGAGAATCGGCCGACAATCCTTAAATCATGCCGCTGTAAACCAGACTTAAGACTCACAAGCTCTACTCATCTCCTCTCGACCACTGCCCAAACGCTCAGACTCTGGTCGTTATGGTAACGTTTACATATCCCTTCAAAATAAGATACAGATGCGCCACAAAATCAAACATCTTACTTTCGTGAAAATTTTAACTCACGATAACGACTAACGAGAGCCCTGAGTTTGTTTCTCTGCAACGAGATGGTCCCATCTGGGAGTGATGACACCTGAAGTGTTGCTTATATCCTGCTTGGCAGGGGCGGATCTAGAAAAATATTTATGGGGTGGCAAGAGGGGGGCAGGGATTTTTTCAGGAAAACGTTTATATATATATATTATATAAATCAGTGACATGCGGTTAGGTTCATTGCTGGTGAGGCACTGACTTATGACATGACTTAGACACCATGCATGTTATTGGACGTATGGAAATTTCGCACAGGCATACAACGCTGGGGGGCAAAAAGACTAATCTTTTACATGTCATCCATAGCCGCGTTAACTCAGTGAAACTTAGAAATGTAGGTATTAATTTCGTGCTATGATCCACAGCAAAGTGATCTGTATTCGCCAAGCTACGCAGACTCATTGCCATAGCAACTGACAACAATGCCACTTAATGTTTTAGGATTTAACATAAAAAAACATTCAAGAATTTTGCACACAGAACATTTAGGCTCTGCCTCACCTGAACAGAACATCCAGTCTGTTAATTATGTTGTCAGGCTTGATGTCTATATTATGATTATTAAGTTTTCGCTTGACTACCACTGTGATTTATTAGCTGATTTAAACAGCTGCTCTACTGATGACTTGGTGGGTTGTTTAGTGCTAACGGAACCAAAACACAACGAACTGCGCAGCACATGCTAAGGCTATCAAAGTCAATACCAGGCCAGCAGCAGTTAGGCTAGTATAACTGACCCACTGCTCACTTGTTCAATCTTTTCTTTAAAGTAAAACTTTTTCCTCACCTGTGAAATCTGAAGCCCTTATTACCATTATCTATGGTGTAATAGTGGTTGTAGTATTTTCCTGACCACCGATATTCCTGACTCAATGGACAGCAATGGTGCATGTGTGACTTGCGATAAATCACGTAATGTCCAGTCCAGTAATATATATCAATGCTGCTGGCGCTCTGTCCTTCTCTCGCACTTCCCGCTACTTAGCAGTAGGTTGAAGGTTACATTGTGTTACATTCAATGTTGTCGGAAAAAAGAGTTTCATGCGCTTAATGTCCGATTTGCCATAACTATTTATTGAATTCACTATTGCTAGCTGGGGTGGCAACAGGGCTGGCAAGGCTCTCGAGCCAAACGAGAGCCCTTCACAAATAAACTTTCCAAAGACATCTGATCAAAATAAAAGATCCTCCAGACTCAAATAATACATAAAACGGATTCTTAAAATTATTTCTTGTTTGACTTCAAAGTGGCCCCTGACCTGTATGAGTTTTCATGTGACGATATAAATTACCCACTCGTGAGAAACGTTTTCCACATGCTTTGCATGGAAAAGGCCTCTCACCTGTATGAATTCTCCTGTGGACATTTAAATCTGTATTTCGTGAGAAACTTTTTCCGCATGATTCGCATGAAAAACTTTTCTCACCTGTATGAATTCTCTTGTGGATATTTAAGTGACTAATTCCACGGAAACTTTTTCCGCATGATTCGCAAGAAAAAGGCCTCTCACCTGTATGAATTCTCTTGTGGACATTTAACTTACTAAATCGAGAGAAACTTTTTCCGCATGACTTGCATGAAAATTGTCTCTCACCTGTATGAATTCTCTTATGGTCATTTAAATTTTTATTTCGCGTGAAACGTTTCCCGCATAATTCACATGAAAATGGTCTCTCACCTGTATGAATTCTGTTGTGGATATTTAAATTACTAATTCGAGAGAAATTTTTTCCACATGATTTGCATGAAAAAGGTCTTTGATCTGTATGAATTTTCTTGTGGACATTTAAGTCATTAATTCGACAGAAACTCTTTCCGCATGTTTGGCATGAAAAAAGTCCCTCACCAGTGTGGGTTCTGTAATGTTTTTTCAATTTACACTGTTGTGTGTAACATCTCCCACAAATGTCACATTTGTAAGATTTTTTCTTTGTGCCAATATCAGACTGACTCTCTGACTCAGAGGAGCTGCTTCCTTCCTGATCTTTGCTCTCAACCACTGGACAGATATGAAGGGAAAGCTGCTCTGTTCTTGTCTTTTCTTCACTCATATCATCTTCCTGAAGAGTAGAAGTCTCAATCAAAGCAACAAACTGCTTCTGGACAAGCTGCTCTCCCTCCTGACTGCTGCAGAGGTCCTTCTGGTCCTGTCCAGTTGGTAAATGTTCTGGTGGCTGCTGTTCATGTTGAAGCACTGAAGAATCTAGTTCTTTTCTTACATATGTTAGTGGATATTCC